GACCAGTCTTCCAATTTGAGATAGAGCAAGAAAGGATTTCAAATCTTAGGGAGCACTTCATCATCTTTTGCAGCATGACATCAAAACAGTCTCTCATTGTATAATTCTAGTTAATTGAGCTTATTAGAAACAGAAAGTAAACATGGTGTTCTGAGGTTTTTCTTCGTGAGCAGGAGGAGTTCAGGTGAAGATGGGATCTGGGTGTGGCAGTGAGTATTTAAGGGTTGGCGAGTGCATGATTTATTTCTTTGGAGACCAGGGAGTCAAGGAGCTATGAAAATGATGTGTCCTGAATCACAGCAAAAAGAGATACAGAGAAATCTGAGGTCTTGGGTAACAAGGAACTCTGGGATCCCGGTGTCCTGTTGGGAATGGGTCAGGAGGCATCAGCATGTGTGTAGCTGACAGTGGCAGGGAAGAGATGAGAGGGGTGTCCTCTGAGGAGGGTGAGCAGGAATACAGTCTGGAATTGGCCCTGGGTCATGACCTTGAGCTTTCAGTCCTCGGCTCACATCAGCCCAGTGAGGTCCCAGGACCCAGTGTCGATGCCTGGAGCCTCTGCCAGCAGCATCAGCGTCACACGGAGAAATGCAGATTCTTGGGTCCACCCTAGACTTCCCTGGGTTCAGGTCCAGAGATCTGAGTTTAACAAACCCTGCAGGTGCTGAAGATGGATGGTACCATTTGAGACCCATTTCCCCAGAAAGAGAGGCTGGTGGGGAGACTGCACTGAGCTGAGAGAAGCCCCCAGAGCTGATCTTCTCCAGCTTCCAGTTGGATGAAATTTCACATTTTCTTTTCTTTTGAAAGGGGAAGCTCAAAAGAAACATGATACCCTGGGCCTTACAGAAGAAACGAGATATCCACGTGGCCAAGGCCCATCGGAGACGAGCTGCCAGGGCTGCCCTCCCCGTGAGGCTCACTAGTTGTATCTTCCAGAAGCCAGTGACAAGGATCAGGTCTCATCCTGACAACCAGGCCAGACACAAAAAAGGCGAGGAGCACCTGGAGAAGCCACAGCAGCTCTGTGCCTACCAGAGAATGCAGGCCCTGCCCGCCTGCAGCAGCCAAGGAGAAGGTTCTTCAAGTCCACTGGATTTGGACAGTGTCTTAAGTGTTCTTGCTCCTGGCATGGCTGGGGAATCTCTGGACAGAGCTGGTGCTGAGCTCACACACAGCCGGGCTGAGCCCACCCCTGGGCAGCTTCCAACTGGGGCAGGGGCTCCCCCAGGAGTGAGTTGTCAGCTCCCACCGCCCCTCTCTGGCCAATTGGTGACTCATGCAGATATCCGGAGACAGGCCCGGAAGGTGAAGAAAGCCAGGGAGAGACTGGCCAAGGCCTTGCAGGCAGACAGGCTGGCCAAGGAGGCAGACAGAAACACTGACAAGTAGATAAAGTGGAGGAGGAGGGGACAGTCAGAAGCTGTGGGAATTGGCCCCAGTGTTGGTGGGGGGTTGTCAGTGGAGACAGTCCTGGGTTTTAAGTCCCTATCTTTTAATTTCCATCCTCTTTGCTACTATGAATTGTCACACTTTCTCCCTCTCCACCTGTTCTTTATTAAAAGTATTTAAAGGCAACAGGTATAAGGAGTGGAAGGTTCTGTGGTGAGAACTCGGGTTTCCTGGGACAAAGAGGGAGACCTTTACACGTCATTGTACACCTCAATTTCTGTTTACCATGATTTTAATTAGTTTTTAGATTCTAATTTAATTTTTGGCTGGGTGTTGTGGCTTATGCCTGTAGTCCCAGCACTTTGGAAGACTGAGGTGGGCATTTCATCAATGGTCAGGCGTTTGGAACCAGCCTGGCCAATATGGCAAAACCCCATCTCTACTAAAAATACAAAAATTAGCCAGGAGTGGTGGCATGGCCCTGTATTCCCAGTTACTTAAGACGCTGGGCAGGAGACTCACTTGAACCTGGGAGGTGGAGGTTGCAGTGAGCTGAGATTGCACCATTGCACTCCAACCTAGAGACAGAGCAAGACTCTGTTTAAAAACAAAGAAACAAAACAAAAAAAACCCTGTAATTTAATTTTAGATTAAATCCTTAAAAAAATGAAATTAAATTATGTAATTTTAAATGAAACAAATACAATACATAATTTAATAAAAATTTATTACATTTTCATTTTTAAATTTTCTTTTTTTGAAATTTTCACCCCACGTGTACATGTATATGTTTGTTATGTGGATATATTTGTTAATGGTGGGGGTTGGGTTTATAGTTTATGGGTTACCCAAATATTGAACATTGTACCCAGTAGCTAAGTTTTCAACCAATGGGTAATTAAATTCAATTAACCTAGACTGAAGGATTATTCAGTGTTTTGTCGTTACATTTTCTCCTTATAATATACATTCTCAAGGAGGTATTGATATGTAGCCCAAGAGATTATTTTTTAATTAAACATTTTTACCACATTTACTCTGATGTGCTTATCAGACATTTTTTGCCGGTATCAAAATATCTCATGTACTACCTAAATATAGACACTATGTCCCTTCCAGCTGTTTCATTTTGAGTTTCCTTACCTCTTTCCCTGTCATTGACCAAAGCATGTAATGGAATACTTCACAGCAATTATTTTATGCATGTTCTGGTTAGGTAGAAGCTACTGGTTGTGTTCACTCTTGTTATAACCAAGGGATGGAAAGGGCCGCACTCTGAGTTGGAATCATGAGTCCTTTATTGCCGGGGATGGAGAGTCAGCTCACGTTCAAAATCTCTCGGCCCCAGTGAAGGGGTAGGATTTCCCTTTTATATGTTGCTCAGGGTAATGGGGGCAAAGCAGAATTTTACAGAAGCAGAGTAAGCGAATTATGGGAGGAGGCTAGTAACTAGGAAGCAGGAGGCTCCCATGATCGTGGATTAACTAAGGAGGGTATACACAAGCGGTTCCCACGATTGCTGGTTACCAAGGAGGGGCATTCGATACTTTCCATGCAATTAATTAAGGGGGTATTCATAATAGGAAGTGGGCTTGTCAAGCAGGATATGGTTACAATGGTTACATGTTTCTGTGGTTTTAATCACAACATGACCCAGCACCGTGTGACCCAGGTATGCACTTGGGAGAAATGGTGGGAGGGGTGAGGCAGAGGTGAAGATGGAGTCTGTCAGGCTAACACAGGGTAGGTTAGCACACTCTAGCAGAGTTTAGGTGGCAGGAAGTGCCTATCGGAAGCTACTGCACACCAGGCTGGGAGACACAGCAAGACTCTGTCTCTAAATATGTGTAATTTATATATAAATCATACCTATAACACATATTATACAATTATATATTTATTATATATATATATTTTTATATATAATGTACACTCCCAAAGTGCTTAAGTGAATTACTTAAGTGAAAAATTAAATAATTAAATTATATATAATACACCCCCAAAGTGCTGAGATTACACACGTGAGCCACCTTGCCCAGTCGAGATTATTAACAATAGCCAGGATGGGGATAAAAGAGAAGGAGCAGTGGATGCTGTGAGCCTCAACCTGGAGTCCTGTCCATGGCCAATGCTTCCATCCCCCAGCTGCTGGGAATATTGCCTGCTGACAGTTCACAGCTGTGTGCCTCACAGGAAATGTCAGAATTACAGGATGCCAGGAGTTCCACAATGCAGTGAACTGCCCTATTCTAGATTACGACATTCTCAGGGGCATCCAGAGATCAGGTGTACGCCTGTAATCCCAGCACTTTGGGGGGCTGAGGCGGCAGTTCGAGACCAGCCTGACCAACATGGAGAAACCTCACCTCTACTAAAAATACAAAATTAGGCCGGGCGCAGTGGCTCACGCCTGTAATCCTAGCACTTTGGGAGGCCGAGGTGGGTGGATCACCTGAGGTCAGGAATTTGAGATCAGCCTGACAAACATGGTGAAACCCCGTCTCTACTAAAAATACGAAATTTAGCCGGGCGTTGTGGCGGGATCCTGTAATCCTAGCTACTCGGCAGGCTGAGGCAGGAGAATCACTTAATCCCGAGAAGTGCAGCATTTTAGGGCGGGACCAGCTGGGGCCGGAAGGGGAGGTGCAGCTCTGCCAGCCCGAGACCGGAAGCGGAAGCGCGGGAGTGTGTCGTGAGAAGAGCCTCGGTCTCCTCGAGTGGGAAAGAGTCTTGATCTCCGCGAGTCGGCGTTTTGGGCCCGCCTGAAGGAGCCGGGCTCGGGTGATCGGCAGGTCGGGGTTCGGGTGCGAGTGTAGAGAAGGAACCCAGCCGCTGGCCCCGCGTCCCTCCCGGCAGCCGGGTTTCCTCCCCTGAGCCCTCGGGCTGGGAGCCCAAGTCAGCCTGAAGCTGCTGTTTCTTACGCGGTCGTGGCCCCCGCGCCCCTGTCGCCCTCACCCAGGGCGATTCTGCGCCCCATGGGACTTCGGGCTCTAGTTGGAGACATTTCTGGAGGTCACAGAATGCAGGGTAGGAGGGACTGTGCTGCTGTAATCTAGAGGGTGGAGGCCAGGAATGCTAGTAGCGCAGCACCCTGCAGCGCGTAAAAGCAGCTGCCGCCTGCAAAGACTCTTCCAGCCCCAAATGTCGGTAGTGCACAGGTTGGGAAACCCTGCTGGAGGGCATTCAGGTCTCTGCAGTCCTGAATACACTGTAGAAATTATTCACAATTCAGCTGAGTCACTTATAGGGCTATAGTGACGAATTTTAAGCATCTGGAGTCACCATAAAATCTCTAGCCACGTGAGTTAAGCAAGTCAAATGCAAACAGCTTTAAGCTCCTTGTTTCATTTTCGGGAGCACATGGCTGGAGAGGAATCAGGTGAATTCAGGCACAGCCGATAGCCTGGGTTCTTCTTATTCTTTAAATCAGTTTTTTTAAGTGAATGGGGTGGCTTTTCTATGCAACAGCTGTATTACCCTCAATAAATACATTTTCCTATAGGTACATATTACGCCCTACAAAAGGCCTCGTAAGCGATTTTTGTGCCCCACCCCCCCCCCCCCTTTTCAGACAAGAAAAGTATCATTCAGGCTCAGATTTGTGTTGAAACCAGCCTCAGGATTCACCCATCCTCACTGATGCGTGGATTTCTGTAAGATCAGGTGAGTACCGTGTAGAACTTGCAAGTTACAAGACTCCGCTGTGTAGAAAAACTGCGAATGAGTTTTTCCTGTGCTCGGGTTGCAAACACAAGGAATTACTAAGAGTGAGCATATCTTTTTTTTTTTTTTTTTTGATTCAGAGTGTCACTGTTGCCTAGGCTGGAGTGCAGTGGTGCTATCTCAGCTCATTGCAACCTCCGCCTCTCAGGTTCAAGCAATTCTCCTGCCTCAGCCTCGCAAGTAGCTGGGATTACAGGTGCGCACCACCGCACCCGGTTAACTTTTGTATTTTTAGTAGAAGATGGGGTTTTGTTATACTGGCCAGGCTGTTCTCAAACTCCTGACCTCAGGTGATTCGCCTACCTTGACCTCCCAAAGTGTTGGGATTACAGGCGTGAGCCACTGAGCCTGGCCATAATGCAGATTTTCTTGAATGTCATAATAATAAAAATTTCAGACTTTTACAGATGAGTACAAATATATCAGCTTTTCACATGTATATGTGAATTTTGGGGGTGCTGTTGTTCTGCCAGCCACAGGGACCAAATAGCAGAGACGCTTGAGAGCTGTGTTCATTGAAGGGTGGAGGCTGAGAGGCTGCAGGGGGGAGTGGGGAAAGAGCCACGGATCTCTGCTTGGTTCCAAGTACCAGTGAACACTTGGCCTGTGGAGAATGGCTGTCTATTCAGTTCTCTCCCAGTCCTTTCCTCCCTGGAGATAGGGCCTATGGGGATCATCCAGTATAAATTCCCTGGGCAAGAGATCTAGAAGGAAGCCAGGGCCTGAATGCTGCATCTCAGTACAAATTTGGAGAGAGACTGAGTGGCCCTGCCTTCCATGGACAGCCACCACCACCCACGCCCTGCAATTCACTCTTACAAATCCCTAAATCCAGATGCCAACCCCCACGCCCCATCCCACCCTTGGCTGCTTTCATCTTTGTACACACACACACACGCACACACGGAGCCCTTTTCTCATAAAAAAGAAAACATTCCGTATATACTGTTGGGTGCCTTATTTTTTTCCCCTTTAATTTACTGGGGATAATAACCTCTATTGATACCTGGAGATCTTATCTCTTTATTTTTTTGAGATAGAATTTCACTCTTGTTGCCCAGGCTGGATAGTGCTGTCTCAGCTCACTGCAACCTCTGCCTCCCAGGTTCAAGCAGTTCTGCCTCAGCCTCCCGAGTAGCTGGGATTACAGGCATGCGCCACCACGCCCAGTTAATTTTTTGTATTTTTAGTGGAGACAGTGTTTCACCGTGTTGGCCAGGTTGGTTTTTGAACTCCTGACCTGAGGTGATCCACTTGCCTCGACCTCCCAAAGTGACGGAGGCAGGGCACAGGCAGGAGAGGGGGTGACGGAGGCAGGGCACGGGCAGGAGAGGGGGTGACGGAGGCAGGGCACGGGCAGGAGAGGGGGTGACGGAGGCAGGGCAC